GAGAGTGAGAGTGAGAGTGAGAGTGAGAGTGAGAGTGAGAGTGAGAGTGAGAGTGAGAGTGAGAGTGAGAGTGAGAGTGTGAGTGTGAGTGTGAGTGTGAGTGTGAGTGTGAGTGTGAGTGTGAGTGAGAGTGAAACACTCGTGTACAAGGTACTTACATACATTTAAACGTGTGGAGATTTAAACCAATTTTTATACTACCTCCGTGGCTCGTGGCCCGAGCCCGCCCTCCACATGTTTAAAACTCGTCACCGCAAGTGCCGTGCATCTCTGCATGTGGGGTTGCTTCTTCAAGCAGTTTCCGTTCGCTTCTGGCAGCTACTTGACTTCGTCCCAAGACTTAAAATCTAGCCACACACTTCCACAATTCACCTGATAGCCCTACTCACCGGCAACTCGGACCCAGGATAAGGCACACGACCAGTCGACAGGCCTGCGCCCCGAGGCGAAACGTGCTGCGCCTGTTCTTTGCGGCCTTGAGCAAGAAGTCAGAAGATTGATTAGCAAAGGAGTGATAATCCGATCAAGGAAAGGACATCCACCGGTCGCGCACCGCTGACTCCGCCGAGTGCTGCAGGATCCTGGCATCAAGGTTTTCCGCATCGCGCTCACGGACTGATCGGAATGCTTCATCCAGCGCTCCTGCCGTATGGCTGGACCGGTTATGCTGGATCGCTGGCTGACCCCGGAGGTAGCACGGGACCGCGGCTGAACCTGATGGGACGACGGTCACAAACGTTAAGGCCTCTTTGGCGTTTCTTGCCTTGCTCGTTCCGGGTGCACTGGATGCTCGCTTTTCCACATTTCTGGATGGAGCCTCGGCCTTCGCACAGACAAGGGAAGGAGTTTGGCTCCAGAAATGCACCTCTGCTTCCACAGAAGGCCGCGGCCTGGATATGCTCCGGCCGTGAAGTGCTGGAATCCCTCTTTTCCTGGCGCGTTTTGCCAGGTCGTGCCTCTCTCAGCCTGTCAGCTACTGTCGGCCTCCACTTTCGAAGCTCGACCGTGTGTGCGACGCTTCTCAAGCTGCCTTTGTCCTTCGGCTTCTCTCGCCTTGGCCTCTTGGGACTCTTGCTGAGCTCGGGCTTCTTGTTCCGAAGCCTCGCGCAGCTGTCGCTGCTGTTCTGCATGTTCTGCTCGCTCTCGTTCCTCACGTTCGCGCAACTCTCGCAGTTCTCGCTCTCGAGCTTCACGCTCCTTGATTTCGCGCTGCTCGCGCTCTTGAGCTTCACGCTTTGCCTCTTGCTCCTGGGCCTCGCGTTCCCTTGCTACCTGTAGCGCTTGAGCCTGGGCTTGACTTGCGGCTTCACGCTCCGTCTCCATGTTGACCTGCTCCTTCGCTGCGAGCTGCTTCTCTGCCGCTTCTTCGGGTTCTGCCATCTGCCCAGTTGTCGCATCGGGCACCTGCATCAAAAACGTGAAGCTGTTATTCTTCTCTGTCAGATCGGCTCCGCCTGCTCATCGGCTTCCTGGTCTTCTTCCTCTGCTTCTTCTTCTTCTTCCTCCTCCTCTTCCTCCTCTTCTTCCTGCTCTTCGCCTTCTGCGTCCGATGCCTTCTCCTCCTAAGGGCTGCCAGCTGGAATGCGAGTTGCCAAGCTGGAGCCTAAACTCCGATCTGCCTCTGCCTTGTTCGTGGAAGGAGCGGAGGCCTGCCGAAAGACCAAGCGAGCTCTGCTCAAGCAGATTCGGTGAATCCCGCCAAATCTGAAGCCACCATGTCAATGTGTACACCGGCATACACAACTATGAGACATGAAGATTCGTGGATCAGGAGCGTTTCAGTACGTTCCCGAATAGGAGCCTTCATTGGTTGAGCTGAGACCTGCTTGCAGCCGGATTCCGATGTGTTCAGAGATGACTCAGTTGCGGGTAGCACCTGCTGAAGCCCTACCTAGCACGACCTGCATAGGACCAGCATCGTCCCAACCCTTCGTGTGAAACTGCATGCGTGCGCTTCGAAATGCCTCTGCCTCGGGCTCCTCTTTGATTGTCCTGGATAGTCCGACACCGAAGCAGTGCGCATGCAGAATGGGATTGCCAGAATGTCACAGCCTTCCCATTACTGAAAGCATGCTCGTCGTGTCAGATTGCAGTAGCCGAAGCAGGGGCGCATGTTCATGATTCCAGTCTGAGCTCCGGGCTTGAGCTCTGTCCTAGCAGCTCCAGCCGCTGGGATCGCGCGGTTCTGAGCTTCCCGCAAGCGGCACGGGATGCACGCGCGCAAGCTACAGGGCCAGGAGGCCACTGCTGAGCTCGTAGCCGGAAAGAGGAACCTTAGCTCCAGTGCCGGTGGCCAGGTGTGTGTCTGGTCCTCAAGCAACCCGAATAAACCCTTGCCAAGTGCTTTCAAGGTGCTGCCAGATATGAGCGGACTGAGCATCTTTTGCTGGAGTAAGGAACTCGCAAGATCCAGGCCTCACAGCTTGGAGGGCCGAGCGATGAGGGTCCATCATTGCCGGTAGCTTTCAGAGGGCATTTTGGATGCATGCTGGCGCCGTCGAAGCATACTTTGTGCGTGCCGTCGGCTGCACGGAAAACGGGCTGCGGCTCTCACTGTGACTTGAATGTCTAGGCACCTGCGAGCATGTGCCGTGTCCCTGCTGCTGTCGTCCTTGCCCAGAAGCCTGTCATCTTGGGTCCGTGCTTGCCGGGAGAAACATCTTTCATGATCAGAGCATAGACGCAATAATGTCGTCTGGAACGTCGCGGCGCTGGGAACCTGAGTGCCGCAAGACTCACAGAGCTAGCATCAATTAGACGAAAAACGAAGCCTGTGTGGGTGGATTTGTTTCAGCAAAGGAGCCATCCATGCTGCCGGCACAGCGATGCCCTATGTCTGCTTCCTCCTGCCAATACCCCAGCTCTGCAGCACTTATCCTCTGCCCCCTGTCTGCATGGGAAACGGTCTCTTCCGCCACTCGTACAAAATTCAGCCCGGCCAGTTGCAGCATCTGCTGTAGCCGAGCTCGAGCGGCGATGGCCTCTTCTTGGCCTGAGCTTTGCGAGTCGTAGCTTTCCTCCACGGAGTTCGCGAGCTTGAGCAAACGATCTCGGAGCCACTGGCTGGGACAGTCGGCCAGTTGTTTCATGAGCCGTGGCTGCAAAACGCATATCTCTGCTCCCTCAAGTCCTTCCGGCAGGAGAGTCGCTAGGGTCTCCTCTGCCAAGTAGGTGACAGCGGAAAAATGGGAGTCTGCCCGGCCCAGCACCACCACCTCCATGCCCATGCCCACTCCACCACTTTGGAGTTTCCGAGTATTGCCCAAGCCAGGGAGCCAACCCGAAAAACCAGGGGCCCTCAAAGCCACCGCATAGTTGCCCTGTTCCAGCGCCGCCGAGGAATCCAAGACCATGCGAACCGAGCAGGCACCTGCCTCTGAAGTGAGAGCAGTGGTGTATCCTCGTATGTGCACGGGCCACGCTGAAACCCGGCTGGCTGCCTCCAGTAAAGCCAAAGCTGGCGCAGCTGACACGCTCAATGGAAAAACCACGGAAGCCTTGCCGTTGGCACAGATGACTGGCGGTCTGTCTCTGGCCTCAGCGGCCTTTTGCGCCACATGCTGTGTCGCGTCCATCTTCGACGTGTGCTTGGGGAGGCTCCAAGAGAAGCAGCCGCTCAGACAATCAAGCATGGCATATGCATCCCAACATGTTACGGCCGCGCTAATTTTGACCATGGAGACATGCAGAAGTTTCAACTGCCTGCGGTGGGTCTCCTATTAAACTGATGCGTGCGCCACTAACGATCGGAGGCCAGCGTGACTGCTCTGGCAACTTGCAATGAACTGACAATCGCTTGACCCAATGGCTCACTCTTCGGGGAGGCGCTTTCGCATGCTTTCGCAGCTCCCGCAGGTCTCAGGACTTGCCGCTGGGAACTCCATTCAAAAAAGAATCCAAATCAGGATAGTCAGGGTTCGCCACTCCCGTTGCGCCGCGGCGGCTTTCGTCCACCTGCGAGCCCAAGCTACCGATTACCGTCCCCATAGCCTCTCTTGGGCAGTCGGGCCTCATCTGTGCGGCTGCTCGAATCGTGATGGTGGCCACGGCCTTGAGACCCGTCACTGAGAGCCCTGGAGCTGAGGATCTCCCCGAAACCCTGCTTTTAAGGCCGGATCTCCTTTCACATTCTGCAAGGTCAGCCTTCCAAAAAAGCTGCAGAAGAAAGCTTGAGCCTCGGCCCTCGACCCTCAATCTCAGGGCCCGGGCTGTCGGATGTCGAACCTTGGACGCACCGAAAACTAGAATTCAAAGCTGTTTTTCTTCCTTTCGGCAGGTGACACTCCTCGTTTCGAGTCAGGCCGCTGGTCGGATTTGGCCAGCTGCTTGATGTTGCCAAAGTAGGCGCCTGAGAGCAGTCTTATTGATACCATTTTTCTCTGCTGGAGCAGACGAGGCCGGTACCAAGATGAGTGCCTGCCAAGTCCGCAATCGTAAGGCCTGGTCTTGCTGAAGTCCAATCATCGAAGCTTCGGTTCTGAGTGGGGCCTCAACTGGGCTCCTGGCGGAGATCTGCCTCGGCGCCAGTATCGATCACCAGAAACGCCTGCCACCGAACTCCCACGCACTGCAAGGGCAGGGAGCTCGACAAGGAACTTCCTGAAAGCAGGCCGGGCGGACACACCAGTCCAGCTGCGCTTTCACACCCCCTGTGGCAATCAACAAACGGCATGCCTGTTGGGGGAGAGTAACGGACGGGGCTCTGACTCTTTGCTGCCAAGAAGATGTCTGACGGCAAGTGTGTAGTCTTGCCATCGGGCATGGTCACATACCAATGACAGACCATACCTGATCTGAAGCATTGTCTGGCTAGTCACAAACACAGGAGTCTAAGCGGAGGCGAGCAGAGTTTAAGGCCCAGGCCATCTTCCCCGCCAGGCGGATTTCCCTCTGGGAAAACCTCGCTTCAGACAGTCACGAGCTACACAACCTGTCTCTTGGCCGGGCAAGGCTCCCACAATTGTGTCAGCAAGCAGCACGCACAGCTGAGCTGATTTGTCGTGCCCTCAGCGGGATTGTAGGATCTTTCCACGTGTGCCATACGGGACACCGAAGGCTCGAGCGAATTCCGGACATTCCAGCTACCTCGGCCAAGAGTCATCTGCGAGCGAAAACGCCAAACTCGTCGCAACTTCTCGCAGCTCGGCGCCGACTCAGTGGCTAAGCCTGGTGCGCGGACTCCACGACCGGCCTGTCTTCATGGGCCTAGTGCAAGCTTTGGAGGGTCGTGCAACCTCAAAGGAAATCAGCTTCGGCCTCACAGCAGCAGTTGAACTGCCATGGCTGCACATCACGCAGCAAGGCCGTGCGTGTACCGGTATGAACGAACCGCCTTAAAGCCGAGACCGCTTAGGGTCCACTTGTGTGAATCAAAGCCTTCAGCTCCCCATGACTTCAATCACGTCAGTATTGCAGTTTAACCTTGAGCCGCTGTTTCAGACTGGAAGACAAGATCTTTGTGCTTCTCGCAAGCGTCGTGGCAACTGCTGCCTTGCTAAGTTGCTAAGTCATGACATGGATCTCTCGAAGGAACATATTACTTTTCAGATGTGAGGTGCTCGCAGGTCAGTCGGACCTGGGCCGAGAAAGCCGAGAGCGAGCTGCACACCTGGGTGCTGACACGCTCCACGACTACATCAAAAAAGACCCAGCTCTATGCAAGGGAAAACAACAAGCTCGTGACGCCGTTGCAAGTCGATGTCCACTACATGCGCCTGTCACGGCACTCGAAGGCTTGCCAGACAGCTCAGAGACGCTGACACGTCATGCAAGAGCGGCGTGCTGGGCATGCCTTTGCCGCATTCTCCAATTCTGCTCGCACGTGGCCCCGACTCAGCTCCTGGATGGAACGGGCCCGGGTTATGTTTTAGACGATTGTCTTCCTGCTCTCTGCTTCGTATGTTCGCAGTTGGCGGCATCATGTGGCATCAACTGACGATATCTTCACGGCAAGCGACATGTATCTGCATTCCGAATCTCGATCTGCGAGAGAGAGAGAAACTACTTTGCGCATGTGTGTACGCACACACGTAGAACCGAAAAACACAGGTGTTGATGTGCATATTTATATGTGTTTGCATATGTATATCATACATACATACATACCTACATACATACATACATACATACATAATACATACATACATATGTACACATGCGTATGTATATATATGTGTATATATATATGTGTATGCATGCATGCGTGCGTGCGTGCGCGCGCGCGCGTGGGTGTGTGTTTGTGGGTGTGTGTCTCTGTCTGTGTGTGTGTGTGTGTGCGCGTGTGCGCGTGTGCGCGTGTGCGCGTGTGCGCGTGTGCGCGTGTGCGCGTGTGCGCGTGTGCGCGTGTGCGCGTGTGCGCGTGTGTGGGTGTGTGGGTGTGTGGGTGTGTGGGTG